GAGAGAGAGAGAGAGAGAGAGAGAGAGAGAGAGAGAGAGAGAGAGAGAGAGAGAGTAGCAATATTGTCTTTAGCAGGTTCACATTCTAGGGGAGCACTAGGTTTTCTCTTTAGTACCTGCAAGCTGCCTAAAGGAGGGTCAGGCTTGGAGGTGGAAGACTAGCTCCCTCAAGAGTTGACAACTGCATTACCCCAGAGCAAAGAGCTGCTGATGTAATTTGGGTCCTTCCTCCTTCAAGTGGAGATCTCCAGTGATTCTACACATGGAAGCAAGATCAGAGGGCCTTAAAGAACTAAAATGTTCTCCCTAACTCTTTGTTGAGAGCATGGCAAGCTGGTACCAATTACAGAATAGGAAGAAGAAGAATTTTTGCAGCTATCAGGAAGAGAAATCAGTTTATAAGCCTGTGGTATTGTAGGCTTTTTCTTAGTTTTCATACAAGCTAAAATTTCCCTTCTCTGTTCCAGGCAGTTTAAAACATTCTTACTGCTTGAGCTACGAGTTAGCCTCCCAAGGCTCCTTTCTCCTATAACATTCTTAAATCATTCCTATCCTTTTGCTCTGTTCAAGCATTTTGTTAAAGGACTTACTCCGGGCCAGGCATTATTCTAGGTGCTAGGGAAGATGAAAAGTCCTTAGAGAAGTCTTCCATATGACATTTATAATGTATCTCATCATTCCTCTTTCAATCTTTCTTCAAACCCTTCTTCCTTGGAAGATGACTGAAGGACTTTGGTCTGGTTTTGTTCATTTTCCTGCATGTACTTTCTAGGACTGGATCCATCTTGAGTTTTCCCATCTTGGTTCATGCTGTCTCCTGTGGCTGGAATACTTTCTTCTCCTCATCTCCCCATCAATCCCATAAAGCCCAGTTATCTTCCAACAACATTTCCCCCATGAAATCTTCCCTTCTCTCCCTGTGTGGAAATATCTCCCCGTCATCTGATCTCATAGCAGTCCCTACTTGTCTTCGGCACTTATCCTTATACTGACCTCAGTGACTGAGTGCTATACATTTCAGGCATATAGAAGGTGATTAATAAATGGTAAATGAACTACTACGCTGTAGCTGTCCAGCCACTTGTGTCTTCATAGACAGAAGTCCCTTTGTGGAACTCCTATGTGTTAAGCCAAGTACATAAGTATTTAGTCCTCATGTATTTTATTTATTTATTCATTTTTGCAAGGCAATCTGGGTTAAGTGACTTGCCCAGGGTCACACAGCTAGTGAGTATCATGTGTCTGAGGCTGGATTTGAACTCAGGTCCTCCTGACTTCAGGGCCAGTGCTCTGCCTACTGCACCACCTAGCTGCCCCACTCATATGTTTTAAAGGTAAAGTCAGAGCACTGTCATGTATTCGTATCAGCTTATCAGGTATCTTACAGAAATCCAGTTGTCTTTCATAATGCATTAGGAACCATATATGTGTGTATGTGTGTGTATGTATATATGTGTGTGTGTATACATATTTACATATATACGTGTGTGTGTGTGTGTGTGTGTGTGTATCAATACAAAGAGACAAACGCTTTGGCCTTCATTATTATTTGGGATTTTTTTTTGGGGGGGGAGATGGGAAAATGGCAGGAAGGAGGGGTTTTCTCAGGAAGGAAGATCCCTAGGGTATCTTGGTCCTTAAACTAGCTTTTTACTGGAGATTGTGAAGATTGGATTATTTTTTGCCATTCCTTTCCTTGCTTATAAGGTAGAAGGGGAGGAAGGCAGATATTTCATCTCTGACTCTGAGTTTGTCTCTTTGGGGGAACCCTTAACTCCTTACTAGTTTTCATTCTTCTCCTCTTCCCTTTTCCTCCTTCCTACTAACTTGATATATAATGTTGGGCAACTCACTTAACCTCTTTCAGCTTCAGGTATTTAATACCAAGAGTGGATATAATTCCTTGTTGGAGCAGATGAGCTCCAGAGGTTCCTTCCAGCTTTATGTTCCATGATTAGTATTCACTTCATGGTACACTTCAACTGCTAGTTCATTCTCGCCATATATCAACATATAAAAAGAAAGGATGGTGAAGAAAAGCCAACACAGAATCTGATCATCATTCACAGATCAGGAAGAAAATCCCCACTCTTACACCAGAGCATTGTAGGCTGAAATCTTTCTGCTGTCATTTGCAGAGCAATGAATGCTGAAGCCAGGACAGCCTGCTAGTCTAGAAGGTTAAACACCTTCCTTACCATCTCATAGCACTGGCCTGAAACAAGAAGCCTGGTCAGGCTTCCTGTGCTCTTTCTTACAGTTTTTAATGGTGGTATATTAACTATGCAGGAAAAACCCACTTCTGCTCAGATGCTGCATTTTTCCCTAAATGTTCCTATAATCTCATGGAATTTAAATGAATCTTCATCTAGCCCAGAATTTTTAAAACCTTCAGATATACAGGATCTAATTGTTTTGTTTTATTTATCTCATTTCTTACTTGTTTCATCCTAATGCATTAGGTTAAAAATATGCTTTGCTTATGGGCTCGGATGGGGAATGAAACACTTGGGATATTAATCACTGGGAAATATATTGAATGCAAATGTGATTGAAGCACAGCATTTATTCCCTGAGCTAGTTTGCTTCTTCTCTTTGTCCAAATTTTGTGGCTGGTATCTAGGGCTTTCTGAATTATTCTTTAAAACCAACTTGGTTTCCAAAGAGACTACTGACATAATAACTGACCATTCAATCTGAAAGATGCACCAGCTTAGATGTCCACAGCTATTATTTATTTCTGTACAGGAAGGTGACCCAAATTGGAGAACAGAAACATTTGTGCCTTAAAAGGAGGTAAGTAGTAGGAATGAGACAGAGTGCCCCCCAAAAGCCTTCCCCTTGTTATCTGGACTGGAACCCTGAGCTGGGAGTAGTATAACTTAGGAAGATAAGCTACATTGGCTTGTATATAAATGTCATTCCTTACAGCTCCCCAAATTTCACCTGGACAAACAAGCCCAAATTTTCAGCTGAAAAGAAAGAAATATAGAGAATAGCCCAGTGTGTTATATGTATATACACAACACATATATAAGTATATATTTTTGTGTCATATATTTGTAAATATATTTTATGCAGTGTGGTGAGGGTTCAAGGTTTTCCTTAGTAAAAAACAAGCTTTCAGGCCCCCAACCTTCTCCAAACCCAGACCACATATCTTCCTTTTCAGGGTCAACCTCGAGGAAATAGGTAGGATTAGAGATCACTGCTTCCATCTCTCACCCCAAACCCTAGTGGGAGGGGAGGCTGGCGACAGGAAACTGTGAACCAAGGAAAAGTAAAGAGTCATTCAAAAGCTAGTAGCCGCACCCCAAGGTCATTTACTGTGCTGACAATACTGAGAAATTAGTGAAATGTATTAAAGACATTTCCTTTCCCCCTTTGACAGCCAAAGCTCCTGAAAAGAACTGACTGCAGTCAGGCTAATCGTGGGAAAGGAACTTTATGGAGAAGAAAGGAGAGACGGAAAGCAAAAAGGGTAAGAAGGAAGGAAGGAAGGAAGGAAGGAAGGAAGGAAGGAAGGAAGGAAGGAAGGAAGGAAGGGAGAAGGGGAAGAGGAAACGGAAGAAAGAACCAACCTGAGGAGAATGGTTCTCCTAGCTTTAAAAAGACTAATTTATTCCTCTTTGGTTTTGATACAAGAGGCATAGTTTCTTGCTTTCTGTTCTAGAGTCCTCCGCAATCTATTGTGCGTTTTTTTGAATGAGGCTATTTGGCGTCCCAGCAGAAGCAACCGCTCTATGAAAGAGCTAGAGGCTCCTGTGCTCCGCTGGGGAGATGCAAAGGGAAAAGTTGACGGCTACGCTCAGCTAGAGCCAAAGCTCTCCAGAGCGATCACCTTTAGGGCCCTGGTGGAGTGATTTTTTTTTAAAATGTCACCTCTAATCAGTGGGTCGTGGCCTCCATGCGAACGCTCCCCGCCCCCTGTTCCTTTTAGGGCCGCAGTCCTCCTTGACTACCTCCTCTCTTCCCTCCTTTTCCTCCTTTCCTTTCCCTTCCCTTCCTCCCTTCCCTCCTCTCCCTGGGTCCTAGCGCCTGAACGTCCCGTCCCGCCAGCCCAGTGTCCCCATGAGACCACATTGTGGTGGCTCGGACTGAAATCGGATATGCTTCATGTGTCACCTGGCGATCAGAGATAAAAGAAACACAAGAATCACTACTACTTTCACAACTTTCAGGAGTGCCGTGCGCCAGGCTTCTGTATCCGGAAACTTGACTCCCCAGACCCCCCCTTCCACTCCCCATCTACCTTCTAGAACCCCCTATTTCATTGCAGGTACTGATTTCTTGTTTTGAAAGAGAATCTTAAATAGTGTACACAAGGAGCGCCAGGCCTCACCCTGTCCTCTTGGCCGCTCGGCTCCCCTTTCCTTTTCTCACTCCCTAAGCCACCAGACGAAGGAATACTCGGCTCCTACAGTACCTTGGACTGAAAGACACGTTTCGCTGGACTCCTTATCAGTGCGCCCCAGCACTTAACCTTTCCAGCAGGTTCCAACCCAGCGCGCTGGTTTAGCTAATCTTTAAAAAAAAATTCTTTGAGTTCAGGAGGAGGGAAGGAAGGCACATTTTGCTTCCCGAAGGCAAACTGAGAGTAGTGAATTACTTTTTTGACACAATGGAAATTCTTTGCTCCCTGAAGTTCCCCCAGTATATAGAATGGGCTTGCATGTGTCTGTTTACACTAGCGGTGGTTTGTTAAGAGAAACAGCGCTCAGGAAAAGTGGGCGTTCTGCAGCTGCACCTCTCAGCCGAGGGGCTGGGCTCTGAGCCACACTTCCCCCTTACAAAGAGCTAAAGAGTGGAAAGGGGTGTCTGGAGCGAGGCGGAGAGGGAACGGGGGAGGGGGTAGCTTTCTTCTAGAGCTCCTGGCGCTAAGACCCAGGGAATCTAAACCTGCCACCGGTGGTCAGAGCTTCCCAGCAGGCGTTTCCCAGCAGGACACTAGAGGGCGATGCCCAGCTCGGGATTTTTGAGACTATATAATAGCAGCAGTGAGGGAGTCGAGCCATTAGCGATTAAGGGTGGACGAGCTAGGGTACTCGGGCAGGGTGGCGCTTGGAGGGAACAGAGGAGAGGGTCGGATCCGGAGCTGGAGGGGCGCTGGAGAAAGAAGAGGGCACGTAGCCCCACTCATTTCTCTGGAGTCTGCGAAAAGGGAGGAGGGAATTGAGCTCTTGTTGCTTCCCCTAAAGAAGCCAATTCCCCTTAGTCCCGGCCCGAGTTGATCTTGTTGGTTGTTGGCGACCGCTGGGCGTTCCCCAAAGTCCGGGTGCCTGTGCAGTCTGGATTCCCGGAGCTGGTCACCATGCCGGGAAGATTTTAGCTCCCCCATGGAGCAAACCAACTTCTACGAGGTCGAGTCCCGGCCCCCGATGAGCAGCCACCTCCAGAGTCCCCACCACCAGCCTAGCAGCGTCGCCTTTGGCTACCCCCGGGACTCGGTCCCTCCTCAGCCCCCCTCAACACCTGCAGCCGCCGCCGCCTCGGAACAGCTGGGCGACATCTGTGAGAACGAAAACTCAATCGACATCAGCGCCTACATCGATCCTGCCGCTTTCAACGACGAGTTCCTAGCCGACCTGTTCCAGCACAGCAAGCAGCAGGAGAAAGCCAAAGCTGCCCTGGCGGGGGGCGAGTTCGACTATCCTCCGCAGCCGCATCCCGCCGGCCACGCCATGCACGGAGCCCACGGGCCTGGGAGCCACCCCCATGTCTATGGCTGCGTGGCCGCGGGCTACCTGGACGGCAAACTGGACCCCCTGTACGAGCGCATTGGGGCCCCGGCCTTGCGACCACTGGTGATCAAGCAGGAGCCCCGGGAGGAGGACGAGGCTAAGCAGTTGGCGCTGTCCGGCCTCTACTCTTACCAGGCGCAGCAGCAGCAGCAACAGCAGCAACCCCCGCCGCCTCCTCCAGCCCACCACCACCATCACCACCACCACCATCCGGCGTCCCACCTCCAGTACCAAATCGCCCACTGCGGCCAGACCACCATGCACCTGCAACCAGGGCACCCCACGCCGCCGCCCACGCCTGTGCCTAGCCCTCACCACCAGCCGCCGCAGCCACCGCATCACCCACACCAGCAGAACAGTCTACCCCCGGGAGGAGGACTCAAGATGATGTCCACGGACCACCGCGGTAAATCCAAGAAGTCAGTGGACAAGAGCAGCAGCGAGTACCGAGTGCGTCGGGAACGCAACAACATCGCTGTGCGCAAGAGCCGGGACAAGGCCAAGCAGCGCAACGTGGAGACCCAGCAGAAGGTGCTGGAGCTCACGAATGACAATGACCGGCTGCGCAAGCGGGTGGAGCAGCTGACTCGGGAGCTGGACACGCTGCGAGGTATCTTTCGCCAGCTCCCAGAAAGTTCCTTGGTTAAAGCCATGGGCAACTGCGCGTGAATAAGCGCTCTCCCCTCCCGCCAATCCACAGCCCAGACTCCCGGTGGCCCCTCAGGCCCTTCGTGGATTCCGTCCCTCAGTCTCTCCCTCCGCGCCCACCCAGACGCTGGACTGAAGGACGTTACTTTAGAGGCTGGTGGGGTATTTTTTTTTCTTTTTAAATTTCAGACCAGACTGATCTCGAGACTGTCCAAGACAGAACGAGGAAATTCCGGTGCCATAAACCCTGGCTGGCTTTGATTCTCTGCCTCCCCCCTCCCCCGCCCCTAAACCGGCCAGAACCTCTTCGAGTTTGAGATTTGGCCTTAGGTTGTTGTCTTCAAGTTTCTTTCCAGTCTGGGGGTGGGGGGAGAGAAACAGGGAGTGAGGGTGGGGGGCCGAGAAGGAAGGGAGAGAAGCCCGGAAGCCAGGCAGCTCTAGTATTAAGTAATAACCCTGTGCCTTAGGAGCAGAGACGCGTCTAAATTGAAACTCTGGGATTCCAAGTGTCTACGGAATGGAAGGAGCGAACCATGTGCCTTTGCCATTTGATCTGGAGATTCCCCGTGTTCCTACACCCCCAGCTTACCGGGCTCTATCTCTCTCCCCACCTCTTTCTGCCTAGGAGAGATGCGGGAGCCTGGGGAAAGGTCGTAGAAAGTGAAGCTCCAGCCACCCTGGGACTGGAGTTTCGGAGGACAGGTGGTGGGCCTTGCCTCATAAACCAGAGAAAGTAGCGTGAGTGAGGTAGGGGTGAGGGTAGAGAGAAGAGAGAGTGGGGGACGGCTTGCGACGATACTGAACCAGAGAAACAACTTGGTGATATTACGATGAGAATATTATAAAGTCCTTAAGAAGAGAAAGAAACCCCAGTAACTTGGCTTTAAGCCTGTGGTTGCTGCCCCTAGACTTGTGGGAGCCGAGTTTCTGAGTCGAGGTGGGGGGTGTCTTCCTTCAGGGGTTGGGCAGTGATCTGCAGGCAGCTCTCCCCATAAAAAGAGTGACTGAGGGGCTGAAGTCCTAAGTCAGCAACTCCCCCCTGCTCCAAGGAAATGGTGTGTGAAGGGCAGAAGGGGTGGGGGAGTCAGGGGACTAGTGAAACTGTCCCCTTGAGGAAGGCAGGGGGAAGGGGAGGGCGGTTAGGCCAAACTTAGAGAAGCAAAGTCTGTACCAGGTCGCAATAATACGAAGCACAATGAATAAACTTCCTTGAGATGGGGGATTTAGTTACAAAAAGCATCCAAGCCTGTTGCTTTCTCAGTTAATTGATTGCAAGCCCCAGTCCCAGGTTAGGTCTCAATTGCAGGTTAGGTCTCAATTGCACAGGCGGCAGTTTAACTGTCCACCTCTGTATGCTAAATGATGCTGCCCGTGCATCACCTTGTTTGTATTTTTCACTCAGATTCTGACCGAGATTTTCTCTGTTCAGGAGTAGAACGGAGCTCTCCAGAGTTTCTACCTTCCTCTCCTTTTATTATTATTGTTGTTTTCCTCTCCCTGAGGGGTAGTGAGAAGCTGAATACCCTCTACCTCCCTTTTCCCTTTGTGCCCCCTCTCCCTGTCCCCTGGTCCCCAGGGAGCAGCTCCCCAGCAGTGGTGCAGGAAAAAGGCAAGGATAGGCAAGTGGCCTGACTGAAGGGTTTGGGGCAAGAGAGAGGAACCCCAGAGATGACCTAGGTTTCCTGGAGACAATCTCAGTCAAAGCAAAGAACTGAGCCCAGGCCAAGGAACTCAGCCCACACCACCACCTCTGGACAGGGGCCCTCTGACAGTCAGGAGCTGGTGGGAGACTTTTTTGAAGGCACCCCCACCCACAGCTGAGCAGCCAAGCCGTTTGCCCAGGGGAAATTGAGGCATGGGAGGGTGGGGAGGAGAAGGAAAGGGCCAAGTTTTTTTTTTGTTGTTATTGTGGGAGGATATTTTATTTTCCAGATGTGATAGATGGGAATTTCATGTTGCCTGTTTTATGTACAAAATATATATAAATATATAAATATATTATATATAAATCTCTATAAAAGTGGAGCTCAGTGTCTTTTTAAAGCCAGAGTGAAACTACATGGGAGGGTTGTCAAGGGCCAGGTCCCACTCCTCAATAAACATTGCATATTCTTGATGTGATTGAATCTATGCTCTGGCTCTTCATTTTTGTCGACGGCAGCCCCAGTTCCGGGCTTGGACCTCCAGTGGTGGCAGCAGGATTGCTCCTGGGACTCCACTGGTTGGCGTCATTTCCGAATCAGTTTTCTAACAGTTGTACTTCTACAGGAGAACTTCCAGGACTCTGTTCTGGCAAAAATCTGCTGGGGTGTCAATGAGGCCTGGCCAGGATGGGTCTAATTCTTACTGGGGACAGGGCAATTGCAGAGGCATGGCACTGCCCCCTAGTAATCAAGCAGCTTGATTGGGGTCTTGGAGGTGTTCTCTTCTTGCCCTAAATTAGGATCTTGAGGCTGCTGCACAGGTCAGTGACTTTCCATTCTCCAGAGCAATGAGCAAGAGTGCCCCCAAGATCGTTTGTTTTCTAAAAGGTGGAGGGACAAGAAAAACAAGGGTGAGTGTCAGGGGTTCAGGCTGGTCATCTGACCTCTTTTCCTCTTCCCAACCCAAACTTCCACTCCAATCCTGTCCTGCTCTAACTTTAAGCTCTCTGTTTTTAGACTTCCCCAGCCCAAAATACAACTGCAAGGCTCAACTCACTGTATCTGAGAACCAGGAACTGTGGATAACTCCAGAGGTCAACTCAGACAGAGTCTATCTGTGCCTTCCAAAGCAGACTGAATGAGATAGGGATGGCTGAGGAAGGGGTCCAGAGCCCTGTGGGCATGGGGGGGGGGGTGGCTCAGAGAAAAGGCTCAAAGTGAGGATGCCTAGAATTACAAAAACCTCAGCCCAACCTTTGATTCACTGGGGTGAACAATTAATTAGCTGTGAGGTCCCAGTGAAGCTGGCTTCGCCTGCCTCAGTCCCAGCCAGGGCTCCAAGGTCATATACCAGTCCTGTTCTGGCCCCAGCTTGTTTGTTCCCATCCCCCTATCCAGATTCTCCATGTCTGGGAGAGGAGAGGGTCAAGTCTAGTCAAATCAAGGAGCACATATTAAGCCCCACCACGTGCCAGACACTATGTAACAGGGAGATATCCCTAGGCTGGGAGTAGGAGACCTGGCCCTGGCCCTGGAAAAAATTCAGGCTCAGAAAGTGAGGATGAGAAACCTCCCAACCCTGTGCTAGAGTGGGCTACCCCAAATTATGCTATAGGGGGAGTTGCTGGTGGCCTCACATCCCAGCATCCCAACCCATTAGCCCATTACAGGCTACACCCCATGCCCTCTAGGTAATTAGGATTGGGCCTTTCAGGACACTTATGGGTCTTCCATGTCGGTGGCTCACCGTGTGGGTTAATTGGTTATGACTTTCTCTACCTAAACACCAGCCCAAGGCTCATTGGTCCTCTCAGAGGAGAGGGGTTGAGATCTCCCAGAAGGAGCAGGGAGCCAAGCAAAACTGACCCCAGGAGAGGGCTGAGAAGGCTCTGGTTAGTCCTAATGTGGGTTTGCTTTTGTCCCCTCTAATTCAGGGTAGATTGAAACTGGGACAACAAAGCCAGCTTGTATGTGTCTGCCCCACCCTACCCCCATCCCCCCCATCCAGAGCAGAGCAAATACTGCCTACCCTGGGCCACACACAGGAAATCTTAGAGTCATTTCCACTTCAGTATGAATGTTTCTATGGCCTGTCTTTGCTCGCTGCTGTTTTGACGTGTCTTTATTTGGAGCTATTTCAGGATGAACCCTCTGTACCTGGAATGAAAACATTTGTGGGAAAACAGCACAGCTGGCTGGTCAAGTTTTAATTCACCATTACTGCTTCCCTTACTGTCCCAGCTACATTCTGCCTAACTGAAAAACTGAACCCTAGTCCACAGCCCCAAAGGGAATGAAATACACATCTCTTTTTTCACTTGAGAGGTGCTTGATGTCCAGCTTTGGGCTGCACACAGGCTTGCCTGGGCTGAAGCATTCCCCACCTGGTGATATACTTAGTTTTAAATCCTTAAAGATTAAATTGACCAGATACTTGGAAAAGTTGATTTTCCATTCTTATGCTCTGTACAATTCTGCCCACTAGCATTTCTTTGTCTACTCCTCTTCCTGCTATCTCCTCAGTCTGTGGCTCCCTTGAGAGAGGAGGAGAGAGGGAAAGAACTTTGAGAAAGAAAGAAGGAAAGAGTAGAAGAGAGGAGAAAGTAGAAGAGGGAAGGGGTGTGGTGAAGAGGAGAAGAAACTAGGAGAAGAGAGGAGAGGAGAGGGAATCAGGGACTAAAGAAGAGAGGAAACAGAGAGGAAAGAGGGAGGGAAAGAAAAGGGGGAGAGGCAAAGAAGGGAGTAAAAAGCAGGAGAGAGAGGAGAGGAGGGGAGGAAGGAAAGAGAGGAGAAGAGGACAGAGGAGGAGGCTGCCGGCAGCACTGGAAGCTGGGGAGGGAGGGCAGCCTGACGATTTTCTTCTGCAGGTCTCAGCTTGTTGAGCATTATAAAAACCGATACAGAGTTCAACGATCATTCCAGTTTTTCTTGTTTGAGAGAATATCCACGGGCTTCCCTGGTGCCCCCAAAGAACCTCCCAGTGGATCAAAAGGGGGAAGGGGGAGAGGACAGAAGATAGAGGCACACTCACACTATTTTCTTCTCTCCCCTTTAAACTAACTTCAGTTTCCTCTTTTTTATCTTCGAGTCCATGCCCCCCTCCGCCCCCCCCCCCACTCCCAAGGAGAGCTCTCTGTCTCCATTGGCACTCTCAAGGCCCAGGAAGGATAGATTTCCATTAGCTGTGAGGACTGAGGCAGAGCAGTGTGAGTGTGGACTCTAGTTCTGAGCCACTGGCAGAATCACTGAGATCACCAGCCCCTAGGCTAGGACTGGCAGAACAACTTCTGGTCTCTAGCTCTAGAGAAAGGCCAATCCTTTGCATGTTGTTGGGACGGAGAAGAGGCTCCTTTCAGCATCTCAATGCCACTTTTGTCATAAAATTCAGGGCAGCATGGGTCAACCCAGGCTGGACCACTCTCCAAAAAGAGGGCTCCCCTGGAACTGCTTGGAAAGAAGCCTGGTGTCTGAAGGTTCCCACAGGCTGCTCTCTGTTACCTCAGCAAAAGCCTCTGGCTGGTCCCCGCATCTGAGAAATAAAACTGAGTAGATAGGAAGACCATTTCTCCCTGCTCAACTCATCCTTTGGGAAACAAGAATGGGGAATTGGTTCTACTGTCAATCATTGGTCAGAGCTCTTCAAGACATTCCTAGTGCTCCTGTTCTCCCTTGCCCAGATGGATGAAAATTCCAATTGGGAGGCCTGAAGGAAGAAAGAAACTCTCCTGTCTTCCCTATGTTCCTCTTTTCATTTTTTTTTTTGGCTCTGCTACAAACTCACCTCCTATAGGAAGCCCTTCTGATTTTTCCCACCCAACGTTGACTTTTTCAGGGGCCCCTTTTCATTGGTGTACATGGCTCTGCATGACTGCTACTCTTTCAGTCTATCTTTTCTATGCATTCTGGATCACCCTGTTTCCTCCACTAAAGGGGAAGTCCCCTGAAGGCAGGGACTGTCTCTGTTATCTCCTTGGTTACTCCACACCTCTCCCAAACCCCAGGAGCAGAGAAAAGGCAGTTTGTTGACTGATTCCACAAGTACAGGTGGATACAAGATCTCACAGGGAGCAAAGGCGGCACCTACATTTCTCCCCACAAAAACCTTCCTGATGGTTTTAGCAAAACCTCATGGATGTCATCCAGGGTCCTTATCTCCAGCATCTCCTGAGAATCTGCAAAGCAGGGCCTTGGCCGGGACACCTGCTGATGAGCCACTTATGACTAGATGAGGAGTGTCAGTCCCTTCTAGATCTTCTGCCTCCCACTCCCAGATGAGGAACGAACCTGCCCAGCCACCTCCAGCCAGCAAGTTTTGGAGGGGGAGCTGGGACAGGCAGTGGGGTTTGGAAAAGGAGAGGACAAATCTCACTTTCATGTAGGCAGGGGTAAATGACAATGGTAAATGTTTAACATGTCTGGAGAAAGAAACTGTATAAATGACACAGTTTTCCACTTAATCTGCATTATTAACACTTTCTTAAGTCTAGACAATCAACAAAACAATAAATCAAGCCTAAGTCATAGCATTTACTGATTTCTGAGGTGGAAATGCTCACATTGAAAATTTAACAATCAGCTCTCCCTAGCATCGAGCACACCCCCACATGTAGACAGTCAGCATCAGCCAATAGAGCTATACCTTGATAGTATACTGAAAGCTAGTCTTCTTCCGGGGCAGGCTTGCTTCTTCCTAAAAGCAGCAGAGCAGGGAGGAGAAAGGATAGGAAACTGCATGAGTTTTGGTCCTTGACTAAATACTCTGCCCCCAGGGCCTGAATTCCTGGGGTCTGTTCCAACTTCCTCAGTGGGCCTAAGGAGGGCCTCTACTTTCCACCCCTAATAAAGAAAAAAAAATTAAATGAAAAATTACACCTTTGAAGTAATATTATAGCATCAAGAATGTGAAAGCCCAAAGCTCTTTTACCTTTCCCCGCCTATCCTTCCTCCCACCCCCCAGATTTTCTCTGGTCTCACCCACTTTTCTCTCTGTGGATGGACTGTTTGACGTAAATCAGCAAAAAAATAGGAAAGATACCAATTCACTATCGAAGCATCCCAGCCCCAACCCAGAGCAATTAAAAAGCCAGATGTAACTCTCCGGGAAAAAGAAAAGGGCGTTAATAATCAGAACAGTCTGTGAACTGTAGGAACCCAAATCCAGGAGAGCTATGTCTGAAACCGAGCTTTGTGTTTATTTGGCAAAGCAACTGGTGGTGTCTTGTAGCATCATACCTGCTGCTTCAGGAGGTGCAAAAGGTATAAATGGAACAGGCAAAGATGCTGCCTTGGCCCTTGTCTGTCTAATATGAGCTTGGGGGGTGGGAGCTCTGGAGCCTGGTCACTTAGGAATAATCTAGGCAAATGTGGAACCTATTACCCAAACAGCTCCAGCTCACGGCCAGCCGAGTTTTGGCATCTGAACTGCTTTGCTCTGTCTTGCTTTTATTTTTATTTATTATTTTTCTAGGCTTCTGACCA